TTCTCCTTATATTTGATTGTGATTGGTTGGTTTCCTACGACTTAAGACTCCACGACCATCTACAACTTCTATGTAGATGACCCTTAAAGTCAAGCTACAATACAACTAGCAAGTAGCAGTAGGCAGTAATGTAGTAAGACGCAAGCATTAGCACAATTTCTACAACCATGTCTGTCTACAATGAAGACGACGTAGCAGCAGCTACGACATAAAGTCGACCAATCAGAAAATACACTGTTTGAGGTTACAATCCCTTATGGAAAGACACTGAAAATTTCAAAAAAACACTGAAAATTAAATATTAACACTCAAAGTTGAGTGTTAATACCTAATTTTCAGTGTTTTACGAAATTTTCAGTGTTTTTTTCCATAAGAGAATGGTGGTTACATATAAAATAGTGATGGAGTTTGCTTAGTAGTTCATTGGGTGCATTCAGTACTACAATCGCTCATCCATTATGAATTGAAAAATAGGACTTTTCTTTTCATTGTGTCTATCTTGGCATAGTTTATTGCTGTCACAATGGCAATTTATGAGAAGAAGGACGACGAAGCACCGACGTTGGTGGGTTCGACCTGTAAATAGGTTACGAAATGCTCAAGGATTTTATCATAACCTTGTTCAAGGATTACTTCAGAATGATCATGAAGAGTTCTTTGCATTATATAGAATGGCCCGAGCAATTTCATTTGCTAGTAGATTTACTTCATCCTCATCTTAAGAAGAACAGTATCCGGGTTCCTCTTCCTACAGAGCTACGCTTAGCTTTGTTGTAAATAAAATTAATGCACTTTAATTTTATCATTTTCTTTGAAGTTACTTCATCATGATTATTGCAGGTACTTATCCCAGGGTAATAGCGCTAAATTAAAACATGCAGAATTTAGGATAAGCAGATCGACTGTTAATAAAATAGTGAGTGAGACTTGTCAGGCAATTTGGACAGTGTTACAACCAATTGTTTTGAAACCTTCTAGTAAAGAAGACTGGAAATCCATAAGTGAAGAGTTCATGGAAAAATGGCAGTTTCCAAACTGCCTAGGAGCACTAGATGGGCGTCATATGAGAATTTAGGCCCCGCCCAATTCTGGATCAGCATTCTATAATTACAAACAATTTTTCAGTATGGTATTACTTGCCATCTGCGATGCAACATACAAGTTTACATGGATTGATATTGGGCAATATGGTGAATATATTTATTTACTCTTTAACTTTTTACTATATAGTTTATAATATATGTTATCTGTAATTGCCACTCTTATTTATTTTCAGGTTCTATAAGTGATGGTGGAGTATGGGCCAATACTGAATTTGCAAGTAATCTAGCTGCAGGCAATATATTCTTACCAGATCCCACACTACTTCCAGGGACAAATATTCCTTTTCCCTTTGTTTTTATTGGCGATGAGGCTTTCCCATTGTCAACACATATGATGCGGCCCTATCCGCGTAAAAAGCTGACTGATGACATGAGGATCTTTAATTATCGCTTGTCACGTGCACGGCGCACAATAGAGAATACTTTTGGCATTTTGACTGCGTGATGGCGTATCTTACACAAACCTCTTTGTATGTCAACAACTAACTGCGAAAATTTGTTGAAAAACCTCCTCTGCCTACACAATTTTATTATGCTTGGGGAAGAACAGGAAAATATGAACAATCGTCGATATTGTACAACACATTTAATTGATATGGAGGAAGAAGATGGTAGCATTAGAGAAGGACAATGGAGGAGACATTTTTCTCCATACTTTGTAGAAGTCGGCCGAATGGGTGCTAACCGTGCAGATTCTGTGTAGCGAAGGAAATGAGAAATACTCTTAAAAAATATTTTGTTTCTCCAATTGGTGAAGCTCATGCTCCATGGCAATATGAATACATATTCAGAGGAGCTATTATCAATCCTCCTGTAATATAATTTCTAAGTTTATAAATATAATACTTATAGTAATAACTATATTTATTATACATATATACTACT